CGCTTGCGGTATAACTGCGTCAGAATATGGAAGTGCGTGAGACATGTTAACTGCGGGTAGGGTTGTTTGCGGGGGCTCAAAGAAACCGGACGGTCTCGCAGAGGCTGTTTGAAACTGTCCAAACAAAAAAGCGAAGCACCACAAAAAGTAGATTGCGAAAAATTCCGACAAGAACACTCTGAACTTGTTCTAAACTTGAAAACCGCCCCAAGCTCCGAATTCGAGGCCCTGGAACCGCATCGTACCTGAAACCTCATTTCTGAACTGAACCCTGCTGCTGAAATCCAAAACCTAATCCCAACGCCTTCTAGACAAAGCCTTGGTCCCATTGTGATGCAGGGTTGTCGGGGCCTAAAAGGGCGAAGTTCTACGCAGTGTTTCGGTTTGGGAATTGTGGGGGTCGAGTTTATTAATAGTGAAGCCAAGCGGCAGGGCACGGCGGCGCACAATTGCACCAGCTAAATAGTTGAAACTGTTAACACCCTATCACTATAAATAGGAAAACCTCCTCAACTTTTGGATTCTAAGCTCTGAAGCTAAAGCCTAGGCCTAAACCCTCGCCGCAACCATAAAGGCCTTAAAGGTTTAGGTTCGAAGGCCCTGGACAAGGTCAGCTTCTTTTGATTCGATCATCGAACAGGTTTTTGCTGATCGCTGCTCTTGCAGCTCTCTAAACTCTAGACTCTAAATCTTGCACATAGAGAGAGACAGATCAATTGTGCAGTTTGTCGTGAGTGCTAGAGCATTGATCACAGGGAGGCTCGAGTGTTGACCACACATACACTTCCTGTACATCCCCCCGCATCACGCTCAGCACTCAGCACTGCGGAGTACTTCACTTCTTAGCCTTAGCTGCCGGCTTGGTCCTTGCCTTGGCTGTTGCTTTCGAACCCTTTGCACGCTCTGCTGCCTTCGCCTTGGCCGCCCGACCACGGCCACGGCCGCGAGAACGAGCACGGCGGACAGTGCGTTCGCTGTCTTCCCCCTCGTCGTCGTCATCGTCATGAATGTGCACGGGGTCCATCTTTTTGGCCGACGATGGTGTCAGCTGCTCCATCTGCCCGCCAGGGCAAGAAGATGGTGTGGACTGCGCATACGATTTCATAGCCAGTTGCTGCTTCATTTCATGCAAAGCCTTGGTGGCCTCACATGGTCCATTTGGCACCGTAGCCAAAGGACGGGGAAGACCGCGGTCTCCAGAACCGGCCTGTGGCAAGACTCGACAATGCGAAACGAATGGAACGCAATGAAACACAAATCTCAAGCAGCGTCATCACTGAACTGACCAGTCTGCCTGTGAGGCAAGCAACTCTCTGGCCTCATTATGCTTGTCTGCATCCTACGGAACCAAGCGCATCATTTCTGACAACGAAGGGAGCTGCAAGATCGATCGGTCCTCTGTCCGCGGCAAAGCGAGTGTCGCCTCTTTCTCGTCCGCCTGCTGAGCCTGCTGTGGGTCCGGCCAGCAATTGAAACCCCACCCCTTTCGTTGAAGCCAGCAGAGACTGCAATACAAATCGCGACTTGCCTTGGAAGTAAACCCGGCTCATATGTAAATGTAAATCACCCCGCCCCGAGCGAGCACGATAATTCGACCGGCGCGGGCACCTGAACCTGCGTGTCCGGGAGCTTCGGCTCTGAATTTGGATCCTAGCAGGAGTCATCATATCAACGAAAACAACACGCAACCCCCGATGCCGCATGCCTTTCCTACAAGCCCGCTGAAGCAACAAACTGATTCGTCCTTGGCCTCCGCTGCCACCTGCGTGTCCGGAAGCTTCTGCTCTGGATCCTCGCAGTCATCAAATACAAACCCCGGTCCGATATGACATGCAGTTCCCAATAAGCCCACTCAAAAAAAAAGGAGCTGGTCCTGGACTCCTTCTTCAACCTGCGTGTCCGGAACCTTCTCTGAATCCTCACGGTCATGTAGTCATCGCACACGAGCACAAACCCTGATGCGACATGTGGGTTCCGAAAAGCCCATCGAAACAACGAGCTTGCTGATTGAACTGGTTTGTCCTTGGCCTCCGCTGCATCCTGTGTGTCCGGAAGCTTGGGCTCTGGATCCTCGCAGTCTCGCAGCCATCAAACAAAAATCCCGGCCCGATGTGACACGCAGCTTCCTACAACCTCACGGACCTCACGAAAACAACGAGCAGGTCCTTGACAGCTACAACCTGCGTGTCCAGAAGCTTCGGCTCTGAATCCTCACAGTAATCTATAGACATCGAACACAAACGCAAACCCCAATGCGACATGTGGTTTCCTAAAGTCCATTGAAACAACAAGCTTGCTTCAAGTGATTGGTCCTTGGCCCTCGTCGCAAGTCCATCCTGCGTGTCCGGAAGCTTTGGCTCTGGATCCTTGCAATCATCAAATGCACATCCCGGAGCGATGTGACATGCAGCTTCCTGAAACCTCATCAACGAGCTGGTCCTCTGCTTGTGCATCCTGCGTGTCCGGAAGCTTCGGCTCTGAATCCTCACAGTCATTTACACATCGACCACAAACGCAAACCCCGATGCGACATGTGGTTCCCATTGAAACAACAAGCTCGCCGATTGAGCTGATTTGTCCTGGGCCCCCGCTACAACCTGCGTCTCGGCAAGCTTTGGTCCTGAGTCCTCGCAGTCATCACTAGTCATCGAGCACACAATGCCTCCTCCGACGTGACATGTGGGTTCCGACGAGCCCGCCGAAGCTACTATGGAAATGGAACTCGGGAAAATCGGACACAGACGAATGGACCCCAAACTGTAAACTTGGGCCATAGAGTTAGAAACGACCAGACCTCAGCACTGGCACTGACTGACACCGCTAAATTCGAGGCACTCCTGCGCAAGAGACTCCGAAACGAAAATGACCTCTTCGTCATCGGAAGCATTCTCCGCTGCACTCGTGCGCTCACCCATGTCTCGCGACGTGTCCGCCCCTTCCTCCTGCTTCACCACAAGGAGCCTCTGCTGTTGTTGCATCGTCGGCTTGTCGTTCTCGGGCGTCACCGACGGTTCCACGGTCATGCCCATCTTTGAAACCCAAGGCAACAGCTGTGTCTTTCCCAAACTGAGGTGTTTCTGGCAACTGTTCAAGTGCCGGTTGTTGTCGAACCGGCCGGAAGAAATGTCACACTGCAACAAGTGAAGGGCACTTGTCAAATGTCGGTCCCAATCTAGAACCATGTCCACATGAGGGTAACGCAGCGGCACGCTGCTCCACCCCGCCATTGCGGAAGTCTCGGTCATGTTGGTCTCAGCGGTAAGGTGGCCAGGGGGAATCTGAAGAGCCTGCCCAGGCTTCAAAACCACAACCCAGCCCGACAAATCGAACAGAGCGCTTGCATCCAGTTGCACCAGCCGCTCGCAGACCCGAACAAAGGATGGGCCGGCGTCCGGGTTGTTGTTCGCGCAGAACTTTTCGTCGTAGTCAGCCAAATCTGCAAAGCCGACGCCACAAATAAAGCGACAACCGGACATCACAGATACTGTCCTGCGTGCTTGGGGGACAACAACAAAACCACCAGCTACAACACTAGCACATGCAACAACAAAGATTAACAACAATCTAGCCCTCCGCCCCCTTCCCGCCCCGTGATGACCGAGCGTCATGAACACAAGCTGGGTTCGTGGGCTTTCGGGGGCTCCCACCCCGGCATTGTCGCCCCCTCACAACACAAGACAGCCAGGACAACCAGCTGCAATACTCAGCATCAGTCCTTCCCAGCATGCACTCGTTCACTCCTTGGCAAGCAAGCCCGCAGTTGAAGAACAAGGACAGTACCGTGGCGCTATCCGAACATTACACAGAAAGGGATCTGGTAGTTTTGAGATGTTACGCGCGACGGGGCGGCCGTTATGCCGCCGCTATGCAATGCAACATTCATGGCTCTTCGTAAATCACTGTTCTTCAAAGTAAGACGAATTAACACCCTCTATGAAACCAAGGCCCCAAACATGTGAGCTAACCCACCACCACAATGCCAAGATTCCAACCATGTGGTGGAGAGGCCTCGCGCGGTTGAACCGCAGGCAGAACAGGCGTTTGAACACTTCCTCGTCTGTGCAGTCGCCTTGGCTGCGAAGATCTTGGACTTTGAACTCCTCTGCAATCCTGAACGACTCCATGAGGAGACTTGCTCCAGGGCCAGTGCCAAGGTCCTTTTCGAAGAGTAGTTCCTTTGGTCTTGGCCCCTTGATGTCCATCTTGGTGAGGTGCTCGGTCAGTAGCTTTTGGTCGCTGCCGGAGCTCGCGAAGTGCTCGAACTCCTGCATCACGTTCGCGTAATCCTTCTCCGTCTCAATCTTTATGGGGCCGTCGAAGAGGAATGGCCCCACCCAAGCTCGCAACTCCTGCAAAGTCGGGACTTCTCGGCCAGGGACGCTCACGAAGCGAATTGCGTTCTTGACGTCGCCCAGCCTTGACACTCCAGTGGCGAGGACGTGCCATCCTTGCGGACTTTCGTAACCGGCAGCCTCTTGCGGGAGATGCAAGGGGCCCTGCAATGGCAGCACCGCCGGGTCATCCTCCTTCTCCTCCTCAGATTCTCCATTCTCGTCGCCATCGCCTTCGAGCTGGCTGTCGTCACCTTTTTCGGCAGCCTCAGCATCACCTGAAGACGATCGCATACCCCCACCTACAGTGAGGCATGCCGTACGAAGGGCCTCCTTTAAATCATTGCAGCCGGAGCACGCTGCACTTGCACTTCGTTGATTGCTTTCTGCAAACCCTCCAAGCCCACGTAGCAGGCTGAGATCAACTGGTTGATGTTTTTCTCATACAGGTGCAGGTCCTTCGGTGTCAAAGAAGCATCGTTTTCGTGGCCAAGAGCCTTAGGTCATCAGCAGTATCTGAACGACTAACGACCCGCGCAAATGTAGCACACGCGGCTACCACAACTTAGTCGAGGCACTTTTTGATAGAGATTGTTGCTCCTTGGGGACCGTTGAAGGATGACGTCCTGCTTCTTGCCAGTCTTCCCGGCTTCCATCACATCCAAGACCATATTGACAGCCTTGTGCATCGCTTGAGCGGTCTCGTGGCTGCATGTGTCGTCTTCAAGCTCCTCGGGCTTGTTTGCTATGCCATCCAAGAGATCCCCTGCATCCTGCTCGGGCAGGTTCAGAACCATCCGCACAATCTGCCCCTGCAGCAATGACGCATTGCTTGTTTCACAATACGGAAGTTACATTCAATCAAGCCAAACCTGCCATATCACATCTCAAGCAACACTTCCCCCCACTACTCGTCAAGGCACTCATCAACTGCGATAAACGCAGGCTCTGCGCTCGTTGCCAGGGCCGGGCCGGCTTCCTTGAAGAAATCAAGCAGCTTGTTGACCTAAGTAAGCTCGCCAGATGAACATTCCAAGCTGTCGGGACACGCTGTGTAAGCATACCCATGCCAGCTCCCGACGGCTACCGACGGCTACCACGCCACACGGCCCCCGCTCCCCCCCACCACGTGAGGGTCGCCCAAAGCCTGACTGAACTCACAGCCACACGCCCCCCCCTCCCCCCCCGCCCCGCGACCACCAAATGTCTTAAAGTCCTAAAGTGTCCATGCGATAACGCATCCGCAAAGCGGCCAAGCTGTCGCACAAATTCCGTCGCTGTCTTAGGGCTGCAATGCGGTCCACATCCCTCTGAGCATCCTGGTTGCGATGCTTCTTTGGCCTCACACACGAGGTGACCGGCATCCAAAGACAAGGACATGCTCACCACCCTGGGCTCTGTGCCTCTGATCCGCTTCAAGTCCATCGCCCGGGCGGCGTTTGGCTCCCAGCGCTTTGGACTTGGGTTTTGCTTTGGCCTTCCCAGTCTTGACGGCCATCCCCATCTCCAGGCAAGACGACTCCAGGAAGTCTTGCATACCTCGGAGTGCATCACACAATGCACGGCGGCTCCGCAGTGATGAGGGGGTCCGCTAAGACCGCTACAGGAGCGATCAAAGATGCTGGTGTCTCGGTGCAGAGTGCCTTGATCCATACCTCAGGAGAAAGGCATCAAACATGAACGGAGCAAGTGCTAACTTGCCGGCTTCACTAACAACAACAACAACAATGGCCTGAGTGGGCCATGTCGAAGAGATCATCGTCTGTGACGTTCTTGATCTCTGTCTTCTTCATGGCTTGCGTGTGCTTCAGATTGCGCGCCCCTTTGGTCCTGAGAGCACGAGTGTATGTGGTGACCACATCGCAACTCAGCATCGCGATGATGCTCTTGTTGGGGCTCGCACTGGACATGATGGAGGCAGGGCATGGTGACCCAATTCATCTGATCACGCCCTTTGGGCATCTTCGGATCCGCCAAGAAGTCTTGCCACTTTGCTTTGGCCTGAGCCTTGTTCATTCCCCACCGCTTCTTCGCCTCTCGGCGAAACTGCAACTTGTTGACCCAATTCTTCTGCTGATTCAGCTCCATCGAGTCTTCTTTGACCACCTGACACTATGCAAGCAAGTGCAAACAGAACCTTTGCACAGTGCGCACTGCCTCCACCTCACCCCACCCCGCCCGTGCATCGCCTCCTCGGCGATCTTGATGGGGAACTTCTTGCCTTGCCCCTGGCTTTTGAACTTGTTTGAAATGATCACATTGTTCTTTTCCTCGCGCCCCATATGCATCCACAGGTGCATTCTGTTTGTCTCCTTGTAGTGTCTTTCCAAGGCCACCCTTGCTCCATTGCATCTTTTGCAGGCCCATGCCCTGCCCCGCACAACAGCCTCCACAGCGGTAACCACCTGCAAGCAGTGGCAACACCTGAGCCAAGAACGCATCGACACGATGCAAGTGGACATCACACTCTTCATTTCAACCGCAACAGCATCAAAGCACTCACTCAGGAATCGGCTTGACCTCCGTCTCGGGCGGCACACTCTTCTTTTGAATGTGCGTCTGCTTCTTCTTTTTCCGGGATTCAGGGTCAGCTGCCTCTGTCGCGACAAGCGCTGCGCCCTGCGAGCCTGAGGGTGTTCCTGCCCTGCTACGTGCACTGTTCGAAGGCACGCGCGCGGCGGATTTTGCAGGTGTTCCTGCCCTGCTACGAGCAGAGATGCTGGGCACAGGTGTGTGAGGCGCAGGAGCAGAACCCTTGGGCACGGGTGTGTGAGGTGCACTTGGGGTAGCTGACAGCTTTGGCTTTCTTGGCGGCAAATTCTTGCCGTTGTCAACCGAGTTTTCATCTTCCGAAGCTGAGCTGTCCTCGCAGCTGCTGCTGCCAGACAAACTCGGCTCTGCCTCTGGTTTCTTGGACGCTGGCATCACGTCAAAATTTGTGAGGAACTTGCACGTGCAACAGCAGTCTACGGGCTAGCGGAGCCGCTGAGTCACTGCAACATGAACAGAAGCCTGCAACAGCGAACATGACTGCGAACACACATGTCTGCCTACTGGCACTACAATCAGACAGCATCTGCACAATCAAACAGACCTGCATGCACACCGCTGCCAGGGCAGCGGATGATCCGCGAGCGACTTCCGATCGCTGCCGATGTGTTTTTTCGCTGCTGCCCGACTCCTCTTCCCCAGGAGACCCTGCTGTGCACGAGCAGCTACATCTGATCTTCGGCAACAGGCAAGCTCAAGGCTAGCGCAGCAGTCATTACCAGCCCGACACATGCGAGGTGCATCGAGTTTCCAACCAAGGTTGTCAAGAGGATGGCAGCTGGTATTATATAAACTGCAGCCGCTGACGGGATCTTGCATTGCCTGCTGCAACAACCAAATCAGACGATGCAGAAAGGAAGCACAGTGGCAAAGTCGCGAGTCCGGCCCTGTGAGTTCTCCAAGCCGCATTGTCCGGGTCCCCAGATCCCAAGCAAACTGATCAATCACTGGCATCCCATGCAGCGCAGCCAGCTCTGCCCCACCTCGGAAGCGAGAAAAACCTGTGCTTTGGGGAAACTTATCTACGAACCCCCAAGAGGCTGCACACAAACTCAGCATCGGGCAGTATATGTGTCGGGAGGGCGCATGCATAATCTTGTTGCAATGTGTTGTGAGCGTGAAGAAAGCATTCTCGCCATGCCGTGGCCTGTGATCCGGGTTTTGAGCAAGGTCTGCTACAACTGCATGGGGGAATTTGGCACGATATTCCCTCTCGTTCCGGCGCATGGGCTCCGTGAGCTTGCTGATGTCGGCATGCCCTCCGTCTGTGAAAGCAAAGCTTCCCGGCTCCAATCCAAAATTCCAAATATATCGTTTGCGCACAAACTCCCTGAAGTCTGAAAGCGATCGGCAAAGCCTCGGCAAAAAGGCGACCGAAACAATTGAAGGCACTGTGCCTGCTAACAGGTCAACACACATGGGCCACAAGCAACATCCACCAAGTCGCTTCACGGAATCCCGCCTCACACACAACGTGTACTGTCGATCGCGCTGCACTGGAAACCCGTATTCCAGGGGCGAGGTGGAGATGGTTTCGATATCGTAGCATGGTCCTATAATCGCAAGACAGTCGGCCAGCGGTGCTCACGGTTTACAGACAAACGCGCATATCTATGATGGAGGTTCCCTGTCGTCCTAGAAATGTCTGGAACACGCCTGCCGGGAAGCCCGTGACGTTCTCGTGGATCACGAGTTTAGGGCACCCTTGCCGAATGGTTTTCAGCCTCGGGTTGTTTCTACTGTGATGATGGTCTGCTCGGAAACTCAGACCTACGGCTAATCATAGTATTATGAGCCACGTGTCCAGACCATGAATGCTCCTGCAGATTCCCCGCTGTCACCGGCACGTTTTCCGAATTTGCTCCAATCCGGACACGGTGAGCCAGCCACGCAAACTGTAAGCTGTGATCCATTTCCCGGGAAGGGCAGCCTCCGACAAGACCGCCCATGCTTCTTGCACGCGCAATGTTCGTATAGTTGCACGTCATCCGGAAACAAAAGCTCTGCCACCTCATCGTAGTTCAGCCTCGGCGACGATTCGTGGGATAGTTCTCGTTCCTTTAGAAGTAGCCAAGCAATCGAGTGTCTCCGGGAAGGGGTTTATAATGACTGAATTCCCCCCACCCACCCCCTCACTGATAGTTCTAAGGGTTTTTCCTGTTGCGACGTGGTAACAGGAAAAACGACCCCACCCCGCCAGGCCCCGGCAGTGATGCTCATGATGCGCGTCTCCGGGGCTTCAGAAAGCCCAGGAAAATCGGCGGGGCTCATGACACACTCTGCTGGCTTTTGAAATTCGGCAAGGTTGTGGGGGTGGAGGGGGTTGGGGGGGTGGGGGGCCCCCGGTGGTTGCTGTTTGGTTACTCGAATACCCCTGGAGGTCGCTGTTTGGGGGGGGGGGGGTAAAAGGCCCCGCAACTCGACGAGCGTAAGCAACCTGCCCCCACCAGACACGAGCATCATGAGCATCAGCCGGTCCTGGGCTGGAGGAGGGGCGTTAGGGCCGAAAATGAAAATTTTCGGCTCTGACGTTGTGGCCTTTCCTGTAAGGGCCGACACCCCCCCC